TGTGTGCTGTGAGGTGGGTGTGGCCTCTGTGGTGTGGGTGTGGCCTGTGTGCTTGTGAGGTGGGTGTGGCTATGATCTCTCACCTCCTCCCAGTCCCGTCTCCCTCTGCCCTCCCACCGCTGCCCACAGTGCACTTCCCTCCCAGCATTAGCATTTCCCACCCTGGTCTCTAAGGCTGACCCAGGTCACCAGCCTCAGCATGTCCTCACCAGATCTTGACGTGGCCCAGTCTCATGCTGCGAGTGGTGGCAGTGGGATGGTGAGAATGCTCCTCATGGCCTTGGTAAGTAGAAGTCCTTATGTGGAGTGTGGATGTCTGTGTGGTATGTGAGTGTGACAGGGCCATCTGAACACTCGGCTGGGGCAGTAAAGAGAGCCCAGAGAGGACGCAGCCCTGGGAGTGCCCTTCAAGGGCTGTCCCCTCTGTGTGTCAGGGCCCACTCGGGACACGCGGGGCCGTCCCCTCTGTGTGTCAGGGCCCACTCGGGACACGCGGGGCCGTCCCCTCTGTGTGTCAGGGCTGTCCCTCTGTGTGTCAGGGCCCACTTGGGACACGCAGGGCCGTCCCCTCTGTGTGTCAGGGCCGTCCCTCTGTGTGTCAGGGACCACTTGGGACATGCAGGCCATCCTTTTCCTGCTTGCCTGCTCCAGTTCCGTGTGAAGGCATTTGAACATGAGGTCTCCGCAGCTTCCAGCTTGTCAACATTTTACTGACTTGACCAACAGAATGTTCCTTAGGCCGACTCCTGACGAGGGAGTGTCTGCTCCTGGGATGCAGAGTCACATGGCCCCAGGAGCCCCCACCCCAGAGCCACCGGGACCACTGTCCCCACCTTCAGAACCCAAAGGAACACCAGTGAGGGGCCTCCAGGATGGGCTGCTGGGAACAAGAACACGTTCAGGAAAAGGGCTCAGCTTCAATACTGTCAGGATAAAAACACTCACTCTTAAGGAATTCTGAAAGATCTGTGGTATAATTCAAACAAATGGCCCAGTCCTCAGGCACGGGGCCTCAGAACCAGGCTCTGAAGTGTCAGGAGGACTGATTGCAGTACTAATCAGGGAGCCAGCCTGCCTCTGTGAAAATGGTGCTGATTCTGCCACCAGGGCCTGCGGATATAAGTCCTCCTCAGAACGCAGGAGAAAGAACCTGCCTTGTGTGTAAATTAGCCTCCCCCACTGTGTCATTTGAAAAGATTTTTGAAATCTCAGGGAAAACTGGCTTGGCCAGCTGACCTTTGTACCTCTGTGTACCTGAGCACACACCTGTGTTTATCACTTACCTCCAGAGGGCAGGAAATACTCCCAGAGGGCCGACATTGTGCCAGGAACCACTGTGAGGTGGTGTTTGTCTACACAGCACTAGGAGGGTGTGGGGGCTTGCTTGGTGCTGGGGTTAGCGCACCTCGCACTGGCCCAGAGAGGGGGGCACTGTCGCAGCTGCGGGCTGCAGGCTGCATGCCGTGGACAGCAGCCAGCTCGGCCTGTCCCCGTTTCATTGCTCTCCACGTCACTGCAGAGATGCTCCAGGTTTTGCAGTATCCTCTGTAGGATTCCAAAGTCATCTCTTCTTCTGTTTTCATCCTCTCACTTCCCTTGCCTTTGGAAAACAAGCATAGTTAAGGGTAGAAAAGAAAATCTTTGGACTTATTCAGTAGGTTAGCAGAGCCCTTGGACCTAGTGACCATCTTTCACCTTCAAAATACAGCCTATACCTGTCCCCTGGTTACCCCGCCACTCTCTTTAAACAGCATCCTCGTCTGCCCTCTGGTGGCCACTTCTGGGTTATTGCTTCAAGAACCAGGCTTGTAAAAATTGGGTGGACCTACCCACAGCTTTACCTTAGCAGAGGCCTTGTTTGAGTTAAATGCATATCCTCTAAATTTCATAGACACCCAAGAGGGATTTTAAAAATGCCACCGAGAATGCATTTCCATGGGAGAGGTGGGATCCCGCATTGGTTTACTGAGTGCTTCACTCAGACAGCACTTTCTGAAGGGACAGTCCAGGCAGCAGCCCTGGGAAGTAGGTTCCCGTCATTCCTACAGGGAAGAAGACTGGCCCATAGAGAGAGGTGACCCAGGGCCTGTGCTTCCCCTCAGTGCCACAGCCAAGGAGGAGCAAAGTCCAGAGAGGAGTGACCCTGCTGGCCAGCAGGCGAGCACTCACGGACAGAGTCTGTGCTGGGGCCAAGCTGGGGGCTTCAGCCTGGACTCTGACCCTGTGAGAGACTTTGGGGGATGGTGTCACAGTGCTGGGCTTTGGGTGCTGAGAACCAAGTTTAGACATTGGCCCTGCTGCTTCCTGTCAGTGTGAGCTTTGCCAGGCTAACCCCTGTCCCTGGGCTTCCACCGCCCCATCTGAAAGAGGTAACGGCACTTACACTCTCAGGTTGCTGTGCGATTAACAGGAAGGACGTGCAGCACCTGCTCTGTCAGTCCTGGGGTCTGCCAAATCCATGCAGGGCCGGAGACCTGCACCAGGACAGGGAGGGGAAGCAGGAGGGCGGGGCGTGAGGGGGAGGGGAGATCTGGGGGCCGCTGGGACCTCGGGGATCTGCTCTTTGCATCAGGGCCTGGGGGGCCTGTGGGCCAGGGGAGACTGCTGTTAGGAGGCTTCCTAACAGTCAGGTGGCAGCCGTATTTCAGCCAGCCTTCCCAGCAGCAAAGTTGGAAAACACAAAGTGGAAAAACCATGGCAGCCACTCTTCACTCATAAAGCAGCCGCTGGTGTGCTTGATAAATCTGTGGCAGAGGTGTGATACAGGAGGCAGATGGGTGCCAGGAGGGCTGTGACCAGACCACTGTGGGTGATTTAACCTTCTCTCTCACTCTCTCCCCCTTAGGTGTCTCCAGGCCACCTGCTCCCTTTGCTTTCATGAGGAGGAGAGTGGGCGTCTTCATCTGCGTCACTGCCATCTCAGCCCTCCCTGTATGGGAGAGGGGGTCGGTAAGGCCCTGGGAGAAGGGCACAGCCTCCAGAGCCCAGTCCTGGCAGCCCACAAGGGCCGTCCCCCCCACCCCTGATCCCAGAGGACAAGGAGGCCTGTTACCTCTCCATTTTCCAGATAATGAAATAAGTGAATAAAAGAGGCCAAGCAGCTTGTGGAGAGCTGCCCCTGGCGGGTGGCAGCCTGGGCATTTGGAGACTCTGAACCTTTCGGTTCCTTTTGACCTGGAGGGTTTATGAAGCCCAAGTTGCTGATACGAGGCAGCAAAACGCCACCTCCATCCTCTTAGGGTTCCAGCTGGGCAGAAAATTAAATTGACATAAACTAGATTAACAGAAGGCACACACCTCTGTTTACCTAAGTGTGCCCTGGCGAGGGAGCCCTCCTGAGGAAATGAGACCTGAAGAGGCAGGTGGAGTCTGTTATTTACCTACCAAATTGAACAAAGAACAGTAAACTGTGAACATGTGGCAAGGCGCGGGGGCTCGGGACAGGATGGAACAGGGACTAGGAGATGAGGGTCAGTTTACCAAGTTGGTTTGTGTAGAATTCTCTCAGCCTCAACTTCCTGTCCTTGATGGTAAGAATGTTACTTCTCACACTTGGGGAATTTCTTTTGCTTTTCAAGAAACAGAATAAAGGCCAGAGTGCTCTTCTGGCCCTGCTGTTTTTATAGTGTGTTTGACTTGCATGCATAGTCAATATGCCAGCATGCTATATTTTTAATTTCTTCACTGGGGCCCTGACTTTCTGCTTTAGGTCTGAAGTGGGGCTTCCTTCAGGGACCAACGGGGTCCAAGCTCAAGAACTAGTGAGTCTCGATGGGCCCCCCAAACCCCTGTGAGGAGGATGCCCAGGTTATAGGAGCTGGCGCTATGGCCACAGTGTGGGAGTTTTCTTCCTACTCAATAAAGGGAATATGCCTATTATTATTTTTAACATATAAATCCTAAATAGTTGGCTGAAATTTAATTGCTAATATTCCTTTAAATAGATGCAATTTTTGAGTTTTCAAATTAGGCTATGTATTTGGTAGACTGGAGGAGATGTAGAAATCCTGATTTTTAATTTTTTAAAGAAAAATTTTACCATTATTATTATTTTTTGAGACAGAGTCTCACTCTGTAGCCCTGGGTAAAGTGCTATGGTGTCATAGCTCACAGTAACCTCAAACTCTTGGGTTCTCTTGCCTCAGTCTCCTGAGTAGCTGAGACTACAGATGCCCGCCACTATGCCTGGCTGATTTTTCTATTTTTAGTAGAGACAGGGTCTTGCACTTACTCGGGCTGGTCTCAAACTCTTGAGCTCACGTAGTCCACTCACCTTGGTCTCTCAGAGTGAAGAAAAAAATTTTTAGAGTCTTACATTTTTAAAGAGACTGATTTAAACGGAGTGTGTGGGGAGATGACAGGTGTCAGTTTTGGGGACAATACAAAGCCAGCTCTTGTGAGATTCTTCTATGAAGACCAAACAGAATGGTTTTTTTCTCTCAGTTTCCTTCTCCTTCAGTGACTTTTATATTGTCATTTTATAATCTTATGTATTTTTATGATCTTTAATGTAATTTTTCCCATTTAGGGACATATCAGCTTGTTTTAGGTCAGGCTTTTTCTACAGATAATTTGAGCACAGACTTTGATGATTAATTGGTTTCAGAAAATGCAAGTTACTTTACTATTGTAGCTCATTCTAAAACTTTTCCTGAATGTTTCTTCCTCGTGGACATGTTGGGTTCAGAAAATTACTGCATCCCCAAGTCAGCACATTCAGCCTGTAGTTGGCAACTGATCACTCATACACATTACATTTTTTTTTGTTTTTTTCTGAGACAGGGTCTCACTCTCTTGCCCAGGGCTGAGTGCTGTAGCGTCATAGCTCACAGCAAACTCAAATTCCTGGGTTTAAGCAGTCTTCTTGCCTCAGCCCCTCAGAGTTACAGAGGGAAGCCACTGTGCAGCCGCATGTAACATGTTTTTAAGGAAGCCTTGAGAACATGGCCTTTGGTTATTTTTCTTCAGGTTTTATTACCAAGAGATTTGGGGGTTTTTTTGAGACAGAGTCTCACTATGTCACCCTCAGTAGAGTGTCGTGGCGTCACAGCGTACAGCAACCTCAATCTCTGGGGCTTAAGTGATTCTCTTGCCTCAGCCTTCCAAGTAGCTGGGACTGCAGGCGTCTGCCACAATGCCTGGCTATTTTTATTTTTTGTTGCAGTTGTCATTGTTGTTTAGCTGGCCAGGGCCGGATTTGAACCTGCCAGCCTCAGTGCATGTGACTGGCGCTGTAACCACTGTGCTATGGGCGCTGAGCCTATCAAGCGATATTAGTACATGGTCCTCCTGACAGTAAATAGTGGTGTTGACTCAAGATGTTCAAATTGGATTCAGTATCTTTCTAGAAAGTTGAGCGTTTCCCAGGAACCCAGGGGAAGCTGACTGCTTACGTTGATGCAGTGACTCGAAACTGTCTCCCATGAGAATGGCCCAGTCCTGGCCAGGCGTAGCTGGACAACCTGCTGCCGTGGGCCTCTGGGTCCTTCCCAGTGTGGCCAGAATCTAGGAGCCATCAGAGCCATCTCCTATGGGAAGGGCCAGGTCTCTCAGAAATATTTTTTTTTTAACTTCTCTTATGGAGACTTTCAAATGTCTGTGTGAGTAGAGAGAAGGGCACATGGCCATCCTGAGCCACGCTGGTCAGAGGCAGAGACTGGAGTCAGGGGCACTCAGACAGAGAAGCAGCACGGTGCCGCCCTGTCCCCGTCTCACAGTCCACCCACCTCTCTCCTCTCCTGCCTGGGGACGGGCAGGGGTGGGGGCTGCGGTGCAGGCAGCATTTGTAGCGAGGTACCTGCTTGGCTTCTGGCTCAGGAGCCGTCTCCTATGTGTAGGGCCAGGTCTCGCAGAAATATTTTCTTTAACTTCTACTATGGAGACTTTCCAATTATCTGCATAAGTAGAGAGAAGGGCACCATGGGCACTTACCAACCAGTCAGCCACCTCAGCAGTTGTCAGCTGTGTGCACAGCTTGTCCCATCTGCTCCCCGCAGACGGGGGATGCACCAGGACCCTCAGTGTCCCAGCCAGCTGGACACCAGCCTGCTGGTGGCCTGTCCTTCTGGCCCTCAGAGACAGGAGTGTATGTTGGCCTTGTCCTTCCTGTGATCATGGCCAGACTGCTGATTTGGGAACATCCTGCTTTTAACTTTGGGGTGTGTTTATTGGTCTTCCAGGAGTGTGGCAAGTTCCCCCACTGTTCTTTGGACAATGGTTTCTTCCCCCCAGAGTCAGGACCCTCATCATTTTATGACCAGACCCCAGGGTGTGTTTCTGGAGGAGGCATTCCTCATCAGCGTGGGCGGTTGTCACATGTGTCCTGACGTTACTCATGTGCTACACCAAGGAGGTTGCATAGTGCAAGGAGAAAGGAAGAGAAGACTTGAAGCCAAGGACAGGGCCAGGTGCACCCCAGTCAGATGCACACCGAGGACAGGGCCAGGTGCACCCCAATCAGATGCGCACCGAGGACAGGGCCAGGTGCACCCCAATCAGATGCGCACCGAGGACGGAGCCAGGTGCACCCAGTCAGATGCGCACCGAGGACGGGGCCAGGTGCACCCAATCAGATGCACACCGAGGACGGGGCCAGGTGCACCCCAATCAGATGCACACCGAGGACGGGGCCAGGTGCACCCCAATCAGATGCACACCGAGGACGGGGCCAGGTGCACCCCAGTCAGATGCACACTGAGGACAGGGCCAGGTGCACCCAGTCAGATGGCACCGAGGACGGGGCCAGGTGCACCCCAATCAGATGCGCATCGAGGATGGGGCCAGGTGCACCCAGTCAGATGGCACCGAGGATGGGGCCAGGTGCACCCCAATCAGATGCGCATCGAGGATGGGGCCAGGTGCACACCAGTCAGATGCGCACTGAGGACGGGGCCAGGTGCGCCCAGTCAGATGCGCACTGAGGATGGGGCCAGGTGCGCACCGAGGATGGGGCCAGGTGCGCCCAGTCAGATGCACACTGAGGACGGGGCCAGGTGCACCCCAATCAGATGCACACTGAGGACATCTGTCTTCACGGTCTAGCCATTGTCGGGCAGGGTGGCTTTGAGCTCAGCGTGCCTCAGGGCTACACTAGCTGTGTCCCCCCCCACCCCCCCCACACTGCAGTCTCCACAGTTGCCTTCTCTCTTTTCTAGATGTCTGTGCCAGCCTGGTGCTTTCTGTGCAATACAAGGAGTATGGCTGCCCCCCGTGTGATCTGCAGGGGCAGGAAGAGGACCCAGAGTCGCGGGACCCATCCCTGTCTGCCTCCTGGGAGAAGGTATTCCATGCAGTGGGCCCCTTCTGTATGGGGATGAGGCTTTTCTTTCAGAAGACAGCAGATGAGTGCAGTGCAGCTCAAAATGCCTCAGATCTCAGCTCCCCAAGGTGGGGCATGGGGGTCAGGCCCTCAGGAGGCTTCTGCACAGCTGTGGCTTCTAGAAGCCCAAACCATCAAACCGCAGTTTTTTTGCAGAGTTGGGGGAGCTCTTAGAAGGTCTCTATTAGTTAAGACTGGGCTACCTGGATGTATATGAAGTCATTCACATCTGTTTATCAGGATAGCCAACAGAGATGGGGCCGCAGGCCTGGGGAGTGCCCTAGAGAAGGAGGGTTCCGCATGGGGGCTGAGTCCTGCCTGCTGGGGGTGGTGGCAGCAAGAGGAACAGAATCCTCCTAGGCAGGACATGCTTGTCATTAGAATGGGCTTTGACTCCACAGGCAGCCAACCCAGAGCTGTGGGCCTGTTGTTCAAATTTAAAGAAGTCAGTTCTCTGGAAGCACCTAGAACTTCCACTGCCCTTGACAAAGATCATCCTGTGTTGTGTTTTTGGCACTGCCCATAGAAGGCAGAATCCACCCCTCCACTCCCCTCCACACAGTACCTCCAACATAGTCATGGTGAAATGACCTTGGCCACAGACAGCCCCCAGCAGTGTGTTGGGAGCTCTTCTCTGCTGCACTGTCTCTTTTGGCAGGGAAAGTTCAAAGGTATTTTCAGGTTCCCAAGAAAAATATTTAGCAAAGATGAACATTTAAAAGTCTGAGAACAGAGACTGAGGAGAGGTGTTGCACAGGTGTTACACTGCTGGCATGTGTAAATGGCCACACACCGTCATGGGCCCTGAGCCTCCACCCCACCCACCCTCTCCAGACAAAAGGGAGCAGGCAGATCTCATGCTTCTGGACAATTTGGTGTGATGCGCTATGCAGAATCAACTGTGAAGCTTAAAAATCAAACAAACTGAACACTGGGCTAGTCTGCTGAGCAGATCCCTGATTCCTCCTCCACCTCCTGAATGTGGGTCAGACTGTGCCACTTTTGGGCTCAGAACCCTCCATCGCCTTCAGAATGAAACTCTAGCTACTGGTCTGACCCCACCTGGGTCCCCCAACTCTGAAGTTGCTTCCTGTGCTGTCCAGGCGCCCACGTGTGGCCACAGCTCCACTAACCTCCTGACCTCCTGCCGGGAGGCACCTGCCTCCAGCCGCACCCTCCACCTGCAGCTCTGCTCAGAGGCACCTCCTTTGTGCCGCGCTTCATCCTCCCAGCAGCACAGCTACTGACAGACGCTTTTCTGTCTGCGCGTCCCGTTTCAGCTTCCTCTGGTGGAACGAAGCCCTGGGGGACAGCGCTGGACTCTTTCATCTCTCTCTTGTTGCTGCTTCTCAGGGCCTGGCACAGTGCCTGACATGTAACAGGGGTCAACAAAACAGTGTTGCTTTCCCCAATGTGCTGGTTTTCATAAGCAGCTCTCACATTATTTCATTATTTTTTTCTTCCAGAACATTTTGAAAACAACTAGTAAAGAAGTGTTATGTGTTGTTCGTGGAACAACGGGAGCGTCTCTGGATCCGGATAGAGGAGCTGACAGGTAGGACAACCAACCACAGCTTAGTCTTGCTTTTCTGAAGTCTATGTGACAGGAGACTTAGAAAGAACTGCTCAGAAGTCAAAATCAATTCCTGTCCTGACACAGGCTGGTAGGGACAGCATTCTAAACAATAATACTGGAGGTAGAGGCAAGAGAACTGTGATCCAGTTAGCTGTTCTTGGGGACACTGAAGGACCATTACAGGGACTGCCTCTGAACGTCACTTACACTTGTCCCTGCACAGGCTGGTTAAAAAATGCAACTCTTAACATGATGAGGCAAAGAATGGTTTTTGAAGCTGATTTGTGGGATTAGAGCAGGTAGTACGACAACCCTAACTCTGAAAGCTGATGGCCACACAAGGTGGTGCCATGGAATAATAATCCCAAGCTCTAGTATGAACTCCAGAAGGGAACCTCGCTGAGTGCAAATTCCACACGCAACCATAATTGGCTACTCCATAGGTGCATAGCAGGGTGGCTTGAGCATAATAGCATCTGATGAGCCTTGAAGACAGTATGCTTTGTGAAATCAGCTAGTTACAAAAAGACAATCACTGTGTGATTCTACTTATGTGAGATGCGTAGTCAAATTTGTAGAGACAGAAAGTGGAATGGTGGTGGTCAGGGGCTGCAGGAGAGGGAGTGGGAGCTGTCACTCAGTGAGGACAGAGTTTCAGGTTGGCAGGGTGGAAAGTCCTAGAGGCCGCCACATGACAGTGTGAATAGACTTAACACCACGAAACTGCACACGGAAAACGGGAAGATAGTACATTTTCTGTTGTTTCTATACCACAATTTTAAAAAATAGCATTAGGCAATCAAAAAGTCTAAAAAAAAATTGGCCTTCTTCTGTATGGTATAATGTCACACTATTCTTGGAATCTATGGTTTTACTCCTTCTAATGGAAATTAAACATTTAAACAAAGGACAAATTCAACTTGTCTTTCTTTCTTTATTTTTTTAATTTTAGAGACAGAGTCTCAAGCTGTCGCCCTCGATAGAGTGCTTTGGTGTCACATCTCACAGCAACCTCTAGCTCTTGGGCTTAGGTGATTCTCTTGCCTCAGCCTTCTGAGTAGCTGGGACTATAGGCTCCTGCCACAACACCTAGCTACTTTATTTTTGTTGCATTTTGGCTAAGGCTGGGTTTGAACCCGCCACTCTCGGTATATGGGGCCCACGCCCTACTCACTGAGCCACAGGGGCCACCTAGCTTGTCTTTCTTAAAGAACAAAAAGATTGAGTAAATACAGAGGTCTCTCAGCTCTTCTCCATCACTGTCTCTCTGTGTTACTTCTATCTTCTGTGTAAGTCACGTTCAGAGGCAGTCCCTATAATGGCCCTTCAGTGTCACCAAGAACAGATAAATGGATCACTGTTCTCTTAACCCCACTCCCCCCAAATAAAGCCACTTCATCAGTTGTTGAGCCTGGGCATGAACCTGGTAAGACTTTTAGGACACAATTCCCACCTCAGGGAAGGTAGTGTTCAGTGCAGGAGACCATGGCACAGATGACAGATGAGAAGGGGACATTACACTCTAAACTTCATGGAACCATAAAGGAACAACAACCCATGTCTGAGAAGACACAGAGGGATTGCAGCCATTGGGCTTTAGCAATTAAGTAGGAATTTAATTTAATTTTTGCTGGGCAGAGCAAGGGAAAGAATCACCCCAATAAGAAGAGCGGCAGGCAGGTGCAATAAGGTGGCATGTTTTAGAGCAGGGGTTCTCAACCTGTGGGTCACGACCCCTTTGTAACAATGAAAATACATCCCACATATCAGATATTTACATTATGATTCATAACAGTAGCAAAATTACAGTTATGAAGTAACAATGAAAATAATTTTATGGTTGGGGGTCACCACAACATGGGGAACTGTATTAAAGGGTTGTGGCATTAGGAGGCATTAGGAAGGTTGAGAACCACTGTTTTGGAGAAAGTGGGTAAACTGGGCACCTCTCTGCGGCAGCCACCTCTGCTGGTTGTGCTGCAGGGACAGATAGCCTCACTACCAGTGACCGATAACAACAAAGGCTCATTTTCATGTCTGCTGTGACCCACGTGCAGCTCTGCAGCCCATGGCCTTTTCACTATGGGGGCCAAGCCGATCCTACCTCTCAATGGCTTTGCAGGCCTCTCCCGGGAAGCAGCTAGGCTGGTGTGGATAGCATGGGGGCAAGGCCCTCGCATAGGAAAGGGGGCTGGGCTTGGGAAGTCACCATGCTAGTGTCCGGTGAGAAGTGGGGAGGGGACGTTGGCAGGGCAGGCTGCAGGGAGTGGGAGCAGGCCCACCGTCTGAGCCCTGGGAGGCCTGCTTGGGCGGGCACACATGTCATCTCTGCAGTCTGGGGCTGGGCAGGGTGTCAGCAGGGAGGAAACAGGGTCTGGGATATGTTTTGTTCCGTGTGGCAAGCGTAGAAGGGGGAGGAAGGCTCAGAGCAGATGCACATGCCCTTCTGTGTTCCCAGACTTTTCCCCCTGAGCCTCGGGCAGCAGCCCTAATGTTCCAGAGCATCTGGGAGACCCCAGCAGGTCTGAGTGGAGTGTGGTGCAGAGTCATGTCCTGGGAGACCAGGTATACCCTGTGACCAGGAAGCACACATTTAAGCCACTAGCTGGGAATTTAGAAAAAGAAAAGTCAGTGGGGGGCAAGTGTGAGGAAAGTTCCTTCCTCACAGCACCAGATGGACGAGGCCACAGCTACTGCTTTTCCAAATCCATTCTGCTAACAACAGCCTTCATTTTACAGGAGGGATTTGTTTGTGCTTCCGAAGTCTGGTAGCTGAGGCCCCTTTGGTTGTCCTGTGTGGCATTCAGTTTGGGGGGGAGCACCTCACAGGAAATTTTTGTTGCTTTTGGATTCCAGCGGGCAGAATGGTGCATGCTCTGGAGCCCCCATTAAGAAAAGATACTTCACAGCTCAGGCGGTTTGATTTTCTCCAAAGCTAGGTTAAGCAATGAAGAATTTTGCAGTTTATTTTTGGGAAATTATTTAGAAACTTAGCTAAAATGTAAGTAATTGTTCACTTAAAGTGACATCTTCAGCTGGAGTGAGTGTTCCCTGGTGTCTCCATGGGAATGCCGCTTTGACTGCTGCGCGTGGTGGTTGTGGGGAGTGGCAGCATCAGCACAGCAGATGGCAGCGGGGCTGGGTCTCCCTGCAGTTGAGCTCCCTGGGTCCACTCCCCACCCTGCGTGGCTGGCGCAGTCCTCCCCAGGCCTTCAGCAGAAGCCCAGAGGGGTTGAGTGAGCAAGCCTCAGTGTGCACAGGTGGCAAGAAAGGGCCTTCCTCCCTGGAAACAGAGATTTTCACAGAATGGAGCTTGGTGCAGCCCCCACTCTGTGGCCTGTGAACACAAAACGGTCAGCCAGCCGCACTCTGCAGCCCTTGACACTGAACCTGGGCAAATACACATGCCTTTCTCCTTTTTCTGGGCCTCAGTTAAGATGTGCAGATTTCTTTAAGAAATAAAGGGATATAAAGGAAAAAACGGGAAGCAAATGACCAGGGTAGTGAACAGACTAGGAAATATATCACCCTGGGAATGCTGAAGTTGCTTGGGCTGTCTCTCTGGGAGGACAGAGGATCCAGGAGGACGTGTCATGGAAAGTGCCCGGTGTGGGCTCCCACTGTCAGAGCGGGCAGCACGCATGTCCCTGTGCCATGAGCTCCAGAGCAGAAGGCAGTGACCTGACTGTCACAGTGAGCATCACAGGACATCGTGTTGCATTCTGAGTTAGCTAGGTGTGGTCCACATGTGTGAGTTCACCCTATTCCCCAGGGTGGGTCTGCTCTCCTCAGAGCTCCCTGCACATTCCCAAGCCCTTCTCTCCTGCCAGGCTGTGAATGCACAGGACATCAAGTAGTTGCCACCACACCTGTCTATCAGTCCTCCCACCCCCTCAAGGCCACAGATGCATTCCTGGGACAGTCTGGCAGTGCCTATAGGGAGTATACAGAAGTGCATTCTGGCCAAGCCCAGGTCACAGCCCAGCCCGCACAAGGGCAGACAGAGGTCATTCCAAATATGACTCAACCTTTTGGGTGAACTGTCTGAAGCAGTGTTCCAGGTTCCAGGTGGGCATAGATTTTAGTAAATGGGCTCCACCACCTGAAGGCTTCTCTCTCTAGCACCTGCCACAGCCTTTCTGGCTCAGCCTCTAACCATATCACATGGCTGTGAGGCAGCTGGGACCAACTCCAGGAGCAGGCCCGCAGGCCCAGCGAGGGGCTTCCAAGCACATTCAGAAGCCCCCTCACACCCTCTGTCACAATTGCCAGTGTCTGGAGCAGTAGTGGTCCTGTCACTAACGGCTATATGTGACTGGGAATGTAGACAGAACATTCTTTGGTCTACTCCAGGTTGGCATCTGAGCCCTGTCATTAAACTTCTACAGAAAGCTACTGGTGTGCTCACTTCAGCAGCACATTTACTAAAATTGGAACGATACAGAGAAGATTGGCATGGCCCCTGCGCAAGGATGACACGCAAATTCGTGAAGCATTCCATGTTTCTTTATCTCCTTTCTTTACTCCAAAGAAGCCAGGGACAAGGATTCAAGCAATCAACCTTACTGCTCTGACCTGTATTCTTGGCAGAAAGTGCTAATTCAGGGTTGAATGGGCTCTGTACGTTAACATTTAATTTGGGGGACGGATCCTGTAAAACTAATTTCAACATCAACTCATTAAAAGGTTGCCGGAAAAAAAAAAAAAGCAAGCAAGCTACTGGTGAGAGACAGGAGACTCACTCTGTTGTGGGTGGCCTGGAGTTGGTGAGGGAACCTTTCTCTCTCTTTCTCTCTCTCTTTCCAGTAAAGCATGAAACAAAGCTTATTAAGAAAGAGAAAGACAGGCTTACAGAGTAAGAAAGCTTACAAAGCAGGGATGTTCACCACAGACAGCGAACGAGCCGCCACTGTCATGGCAGTCAGGGACCTTTCTAAGTCCTTCGGACACTACTTGGGCAATTTGAAAACATTACTAAAATTTATCACAGTAAGGGTCTGTTTAGACTTCACATTTTCACTACCTGCAAGAGCATCATCTCTCAGGTGTCACCTGTGTACCGGACCACATAAAATCGCTAACTTCCTATTGGCTCAGCAGGAGGAGCGGCAGGTACCAAGAACTTCTGCTGAAGAGCAATCCTGAAGTTCCTGAAAAGATGTGCCTTGTAGTTCCGGCTGAGGCCAGCAGGGCGCTCTTGGCTAATGCGCTGAGGCACGAACTGGGTGTGCAGTCGCACCCACAAACAGCAGCTGCATCAAACAACAGCAGGGCTCTTTATTAAGTTGGCCTTTTGACATGGGAGGAGACCCAGAGCTGATGCCAGACGAGGCCGTCCACTAACCCGCCCTGTTCCTAAACCTTTAAGGTCCAGGGCGCCTCTTCTATAGCTGCCCCTGCAGCTTGGAGACCGAGCCCTCCAGAGGAGGCCTGAGATCGTGGGGCGTGCAGAGGGCAAGGCCAGGTAGTGGCTTCCTGGGACCATCATGAGGGGGACCCCCACCGCAGCGGCCAGACCTGCTCAGACCAGCGCCCAGGGAGCATCACTGTGGGCCGTTTCCCGTTTCCCCACTTTTCCAGGAAGGCATAGTGAGGGTGGTGGAGGCCGGCGCCTTTGTATCCTGAGTCCGGATGCTGGCCTGACCAATGGCTGCTCATCCAGTTGGCTTTAATTACAGCCGCAGTTGAGGCTGGCGCTTTTCAGGTCACCCTGCCACAGACCATGTCATTGGCCACTGTTTGTCATCAGAGACCCAGGGCACTTGGTTGCCCTTATTTTTCACATAGACTAAAGCTTTGTCTGAGTGTGCGTATTTTAAAGAGACAAGCACAGCCCTCTTGGAGAGGAGGAAAATACAAAAAGCATGAAAAAAATTGGTCAATAGGACACTTAAGCCACTTCCACTTCCATGAAAGTGTTCTCTCCCTCCTTTGAGGGGTTTCTTTTTAATCTTTTGTTTATGCTGCCTGCTACCTAATGGTGCCAATGCCATATGCCTCACCAGGGAACAGTTTTTAACAGATAAATGATCATGAAAGTCCAGTATCATTGGAAGCTGAAGACTGAATAGCCTAGCAGGCATCCTCAAACTCTGGCTGGTTGGGTGTTTTTGCCACTGCTACCTGTCCTGCTTAGCAGTTGACTCATCCCGGGGCCCGCAGTCCGGCCCTCCAATGGTCTGAGGGACAGTGAACTGGCCCCCTGTTTAAAAAGTTTGAGGACCCCTACCCTAGACTGTTCCCAGCTGATTTGCATAACAAGGAGCTCCACAGAGGGCTGGCACTTGCCCCCACATAGGGTGGAGTGGCTTGTGGGAGACACCATCTTTCATGTCTATTAATTCAGTGATGAGAGGAATTACTTACATTTTACTGTTATTCATGCAGTTTGAGCAGTGTTTCTAATTTTTTTGCTGACCTCAGTGTCTCCTGGGGGTTTGCTGGCCTCACCCAAGTTTCTGGATCCGTCTAGGCTGGGACAGCAACATGCATATCTCATGGGTACCCAGGGAATGCTGCTGCTGCTGGCCCCAGGACCCCGCTTTGGTAACAGTGGAAGGGAAGCATTTCCTCAGCTTCTCAGACCTTGCTTCCAGCTTGCTGGTCCCAGACCAGGCTGTTTACACCTGCCCTCCCTCTCTACCTGCTGACGTGTTCCTAAAGCCTCTGCTTCTCTTCCACAGCTCCCAGGGACTTCCACCTGGCACTTCCCTCAACTCCAGCCTCTCAACATCCCAGTCTTGTTCCAGGAGGATCTACCTCCTTATTCCATGTCCTCCTGCAGTCGCCCAAGCTCAAGATCCTGATGTCATGAATCATATTATTTGTCACTTCTGGGAAACAGAGGCTCAGGCACCTCTCAATCTCGAGTTCCATGTTTCCATGGCTTCTGGACTGGCTCTTTGTCTGGTGATGGGCTTTGGAGACAGTTCTAGAGTTGAAATGAGGCTCCACAACACGTCTGAGGCAATGGCGGTGACTGCCTGCCACCAGCGTGAGACAGGTACAGTACATGTGTCCTTCTCCAGGACGGGGAAGATTTGAGCTGGGGACCTGAGAGGCAGTGCTTGGAACAGAAAGGAAACCCCACTCCATGCCTCTGGACTCAGCTAACCTTCCCAGCTCCAATAATGATACCTCCCGGTAAGCTGTGCACGTGGGGGAGCATGTGTCCTGTTTTGTGTATGGCCAATTCTTTACATATTTTTCCTGATTTAATCTCTCCCTCACCCCTTCCCTCACACCCGGGTAGGTGTGAGGTAGAAGATTTGACCTGAGGTGACACAGCTAATATAGTCAGCTTCTTCCTGTGTAGAGGCAAAATTCTGAAAGCAGTTACTGTCAAAAATCACTTAAATGGCCCTTCAAGTACACACACAGACACACAGGTAATATTGCACATTAGTTCTTTTGCACTAGTCCATCTCTTCACCCTGAATCTATTTTTATCCTTTAAGTAAGGTGAGATTCTTGTATACAACAGATATCCAGTCTGAGTTTATATATCCGGTAAGCCAGCCTGTGCCTCTTTAGGGGATAATTTAAACCATTCACATTAATTGAGAGAATTGATAAGCCTGGTTGTGTTTTGTACATTTTTAATCCTTTCACCACTGTGGAAGTTGGATTTTGTTCAAAAATTTCTGGGTGAGTTTACTTTGGAGGTTAGAGCATTGCACTGGTCATTGTGGAGGATGAGTCTGAGAATATCCTGGAGAGCTGGTTTATTTATAGCAAATTTCTTCAACACGTGAATGTCATTAAAGTATTTGATTTCTCCATCACAAATGAAACTCAGTTTAGCTGGATACAGGATCCTGGGCTAGAAGTTGTTTTGTGTTAGAGATTGAAGGTCGATGACCATCTTCTTCTGGCTTGAAACATTTTGGCTGAGAGATCTGCAGTCATTCTGACACTTCTCCCTTTGTAGGTGATACTTTTCTTACATCTGGCTACTTGCAGAATTTTCTCCTTCATCTTAATCACAATGTGCCTAGGAGATGCTTTATTTGGATTGAGTCCTGCTGGGGTTCTGAAGCTCTGCTATCTGAAGTTCTGTATCTCTTGCAATGCTTGGGAAATTCTCCTCCAAAATCTCTTGGAGTAGAGCATCTGTACCTTTAGGACCATCCTCTTCTCCTTTGGGAATTCCTATAAGACAAATATTTGATCTTTTGGAGTGATACTACAGTTCTGTCAGGGAATGATCAGTTTTTGCTCTGCATTTGTCTGCCTCTTTGAGTGTTTGAGAACATTCAAAAGCTTGTCTTCAGTTCCAGAGATCCTTTCTTCTGCCTGGTCAACTCTATTACTGAGGGATTCTACTGTATTTTGGAGGTCCTCAACTAACTTTTTCATTTCCTTGAGCGCTGCTATCTCTTTTCTTATTATGTTCATATCTTTGGTGACTTTGTCTTTGAATTCATTAATTTCTTGAGCCAAATTTAGAACCGCTCTTTGGAATTCAATTTCTATCTTTTCTTCCATTCTATTTATCTTATTTGCAATACATATTCTGAGTTCGATTTCTGACATTCCTGCCATTTGTCTAAGCATGGCATCTTCAGTTGTATCTCCTTTGTCATTCTTAGGGTGGGGGTTGATCTACTCTGGTTATTCATGTTTCCAGAGTTCTTCTGTTGGATCCACACCATGTTTATTTTCCACCATTTGGTTATTAGAACTGGCAGGGTGAGATTGAATTGGGGTTCCCAGGTAGTAGAGATAGCCCCTTATCAAAGTACTAGGCTTTATAATTGTGGCTTATCTCCTACAACCTACAAAGGCCCCTTTCAGAGTTTTGGCCAGAGACTCTAAGGATCTACTTTGTGAGATAGCACACGCTAGCTCTGTTTTGATATCAGCCAACCTCTACCCTATCCTAAGAAACCACAGTATTAGGTTTAAATCTCAACTATGAAGAGATACAAATAGCTGTGGCACCCAGCCACCTCCCTTCGGTTATTTTCCACTACAGAACTTTGAAGGTCAACCTCAGAATGTTTCCGAGTGGATAGCCCCAGACGTGGGTTCCAATTAAATTGTCTCAGGTGGTGCAAACCCTGCTCAACAGAGAGGGATTCAAGAGTCTCCAACAGCACAATTGGAAGCAGGGATCCACACTCCCACCCACTAGATTCAGTCCACACTGTTGTCCACTTCTCTGCTTATGGGCTCAGTTGGAGCTGGGGCCACACCCCTGCTCACCAGTCTCAGTCCACACCCAGCTAGCCTCTGCTTTCCAGACCAGTTGGAGTCAGGGGACCACTCCCCCACCTGCCAGTCTCAGTCCACTGCCTGGCAAGCCTCTGTTCACAGGTTCTGTTAGAGTCAGGGCACCGCACTCTGCCCACAGGTCTTAGTCCTCACCCAGTAAGCCTCTACTCACCAGCCCCACTGGGGACAGGGGACCACACTCTAGTCCTCAGGTCTTGGTTCACACCCAGTAAGCCACTGCTTGAGGGTTCTGTTGGAGTCAGGGGGCCACACCCTTGCTCTCACGTCTCAGTCCATGCCTAGCAAGCCTCTACTTACACGCCCAGCAGGGGCTGGTCCCCAGCCCTGTCTGGTGAACTCAGTCCACACAGGGCAATCACTCTCCTGCTGTGGACGCTGTCAGAGCTGGGGATTCTGCACATCATCCTGCCAGACACAGCCCAAATCAACAGCACCACTGGCCAGGCATAGTCATAACCAGGGGACTGCCCCTCCTCCCGTTGAGTGTCCCTTTCTTCCCACATCCTCTTTCTTTCCCATTAGTCACAGATTCTGTCCTGATGGTTGGCAGTCCACACCACGCCCAGATCTCTCAGGACAAGACCAAACACTCTGTGCTCTGCAGGGGGCAGAACTTCAGACTGCCATGTGAAGGGGAAAGAGTGGACTGGGAATTTGGACTTGTGGGGGAAAGTATCTGTTCAAGTTTATGCCTGGCGGGGTGGTGTCTAGGTTCATAAGTGGGACCTCCCTGGAGAAAGAGACCTGGAGTTTAGTGGCTCTCTCCAGCGAGGTAAAATGAGAGGTCTTTTGTTCCTTGCTCATTTGCAGATTGCCTGTGGCAGGCCTTCTGCTTGGGGACGGGGTCTCCTGTCCTCTAGTTGATAGGCTTTGTCCCTGTAATTTGTTTTCTTGAATGCTCTTCCTTGGAGTTACAGCTTGCTGACCTTCTTTCTTGGCTCAGCTCCCCACTTTTGGCTTCATAGAGTCCAATTCCATCCAGGTTTTCTTCCTCTGCTCAGGAGCCTCTGCCAAAGGTTGCCACCAGTCAGCCGTCTTCCAGTTCTTTAATTTTTATTGGTATCTGTGGCTATTTCTTTCTATCATTTTTATTTTTATATTTTATTTTCTCCTTGTTTTCTTGATTACATTGTGTAAATTTTTATGAATTTATTTCAAGAACTAGCTTTTGGATTTTGTTTATTCTACATTTCTTACTAGTTCATTAATTTCTGCTTTTATCTTTATTTTCTTTTTGTTGCTTTCATAAGCATGCAGAAATAATGCTAATTACTAAGGGGGGCACATTGTACAGTTATGGTATCTGGTGTGGTGTGTAGTCTTTTCGGGCTAATTTAGGTCTCATAATTAAGTTTGTAAACTTAGAAAAGGTGCTAGAGACCTCATTGCTGAATCGTACTACAGTCACCAGATGGCCCAGGGGAATACTTCAAAGGTGACTCTTGCTATTCAGCGATGACGTCTGTAGCACTTTTTCTAAGATGAGTTCAAGAACTTAATTGTCTGACCTTGTAACTAGCAAAGGTTTCTTAAGAGGATTCTACTTGTACTTTTTATCAGTTGTCTATATCAAATAATATTTTTATTTGCCCCAGATAAAAGGACAAAGAATGAAAGCAAGGCTGGCAAGTGGGCTTGGGGAATCCGAGATGATTCAGATGATTGTATACTACTCAAATTTTAAAATGTGTGCTTTGGAAGCTAATAATAACTTCTCCCACAGAATGTGTGTGTTGTGCTCAACAAGTGCATTGGAACAAGGGAAATGTAAAGGTGATTATGTTACTTCCCTGTTCATAATGTGTTTTTCAAAAGGAAAAATTCAGTGTTCACCAAACCCTATAGTGCTGGAAGATGACTTTTACTATGATCATCATACCAGGGTCTGACAGTTAAGTTCATGAACTCATCCTGGAATAAGCCCTACGTAGCTGATTGCTGACTATCGCTATGTTTACCTTCAAAGACCTCCCCTTGGGAAGCTGTGCACTGACGCCAGTACCCAGTTCACCCTTTTCCTGAATTGGCCATCAGAGCTACCATCATATTACCCTGATATCCTAAGTGTCATTAAAATGTCTTCCTTTCAATATTTCCTTTATCTTTCGGTAAAGAAAGAAGTCACTGGGAGCCAGGTAAGGTGAGTAGAAAGGGTGTTCCAATACAATTATTTATTTACGGGTTAAAAACTCCCTCACGGACACTGCTGTGTGAGCTGGCACATTGCTGTGACAAGAGTCATGAGTTTGGGGGGAAAATTTTTCAAATTGTTTTCATTTAATTTTTTCATGCAGCCTTTTGGCATTTCCAGATAGCAAACTTGGTTAACTGTTTGTCTAGTTGGTACAAATTCATAATGAATAATCCCTCCAATATCAAAATAGCTCAACAACATCCTTTTAATTATTGATTTGGACTGACAGTGTTGTGGAGAACTGACTGACTTCCATTGTGAACTTTGATACTTTGGTTCAGGGTCATATTGGTCTTTCCTTCATTCTTTCCTTCTTTCCTTCCTTCCTTTCTGACAGAGTCTCACTCTGTTGCCCAAGATTAGAGTGCTGTGCTGTCATAACTCACAGCAACTTCAAACTCTTGGGCTCACGTGATTCTCCTGCCTCAGCCTCCCAAGTAGCTAGGACTATAGGTGCCCACCACCATGCCCGGCTAATTTTTTCTATTTTTAGTAGAGATGGGGTTTAGCTCTTGCTCAGGCTGGTCTCAAACTCTGAGCTCAAGCTATCCACCCTCCTCATGCATCCAGAGTGCTGGGATTACAGGTGTGATCCACTGTGCCCACCTAGTACACCTATCTTTCACCACCAGTGATAACATGGCCCAAAACATCATCTTGCCTCTCCAAAAAGTATTGACAAACTTTGACTCTCCTTTGCTTCTTTTCATTGGTGGTCTCCTTTGGCATATACCTTTCTTATTCCAAGATTTTCTTTTAAGATTTTCCTAACTGTTTCTCTATTGAGGTTTGTTTGGCCTGCTGTGCTCATCCCAGTCAGCCAATGATTTTGATGTTCAATTTGATTATTTTTTGTAATGTTTTGGTCAGTTTTGCTTGTTACTGGCTGCCCTGACCTCTCCTCATGAGTGATACCTTCTCTCCCCTCTGAAAAATGTTTAATCCATTTGTACACTGCTATTTTCTTCATGGAATTACCCCATACCACCACACACTCACATGAACGCAGCTGTGAGATGCCAACATACCAAGGTTCTGAAACCTAACTGAGTTGTTTGGATAGTGCTGTCAACATAACGGCATGATGGCAAGTTTGTGAACTTAATTGTCAGACCTTGTATTCCCATTTGGCTATTTAAGTATTTTTCCCCCATCTATGGATGAACAATATTTATTTTCATTCTTGTGAATATTTCCTATTGCACAGATTTGGCTATAGAATTCTTAGGGCCCAGAAGAAAATGAAATGCCAGGCCTAGCCCCTTGCTAAGAAATTTACTAAGATTCTTCAAACAGCACACACAGAACAGTGTGGAGTGTGCAGCTCTGTGCCACTGTACGGGTCACAGCGTGGAGTGTGCAGCTCTGTGCCACTGTACGGGTCACAG